TGCTGGTGTGGGTCTCTTTCACACGACACACATGAATGTTCGTTGGGGCAACACTTAGTACAGGTGAATGCTGTAACAGAAGCTGATACCATCTGCCTCTTTCTCTCATATCCAAAATGGTATTTAATAATTTCATGAAACAGCAAATACTGTTCAGAAGGACAGACAGAAAATATGTCATTCCAAAGTATCCTACAGCCCAGGCTCATAGTCCAGCCTCAGCCAAAAAACAGGAACCAAATTAAGTCACCTACAACACAAATGTTCTAACTATGAAGTTATATGGAAAACAACACATCAGCCTCTCTTCTGTTCTGAAAAAAGCACTACCTGTGCAGAATATGCTGCAAATGCATATCTGAGCTTGTCTAATACATTGAACACCTCAGTTAACAGAAGGGCAGGAATATCTGAAATATCACCTAGGTGCTCCCCTCCCTTCCCTGACAAGGTCAGAATAGGCTGTGTACCTCATAAGGCACACCAGCATTTCGGGCACTTACAGAAAATGATGAAAGCTGAGACCCCTAGTGAGCTGCAACAATTTCAGGCTTAGATGCTGGCTGAGGAAGGCTTTTACAAATGGCAGTTTGGGAATAAGTCCTTATAATAGGGATTATGTCAGAGGTAGATGTTCAAATATTTCTGTGGCTATAGTTAGTATGGCTAACTATAGCCATATAGTCATATAGCCATATAGTGAGTATGGCGTTCATCATCAGATTGCGGTGGGAAACGGAGAAGAAATTAAGTGAAAATGGGAAGCGAAAATCTCAGTGGTGCCGATGCTGGATTAAGGTGGCAAAAGTACCAGTTTGGGGCCTGCATTCCTTTGTAGAGTTAAACATTCCTCATTTCATGATGAAAAAGAGTGAGTTCCCTGGAACCTTTAGCAAGCACTTTAAAAATCCCAAGTAGAGTTGTCTGGTTTTGGTTTTTCCCCTTAGAAAGTTTGCTTTCTGATCCCCACCTTAAAGGAGTCTATATAAGCAGTTTGTGGACATAGCCCTGGCACTCAGCAGCAGCTCTTTCTCTCTACTGATGCTGATGATGTAAGTATGTTTGCATAAATACGTATCATGTCATCTGTGGCAAGGAGGTAACTTTTATTCTGTACAGAAATATGGCATCTCTACACATTTCTTTTAAATGTATCCAGTTCTGTAAGACTCTGAGAAGGAAGCACACTTCAGATTTGCACTGTCATATTTAGCTCTAGCAAGGAATACAAAACACACTGGAAAAGGAGTGTCCTAAGAAGCACCGATTTCAAGTCAGAACACCGCAAGTTTTGCCAGTGGGTGGCACTGTGAAATCAACATGATAGGAGCAGCTGAAAGAAAAAGCAAGAGGCACAGCAAGAAAAAGACAAGACAGGAGAATAACTGTTGGAAATCAAATACTTCTGACATGTTTACAAGATTTATGGGTTTCCAATATTTGTTTACTGTTTTCGTTTCACACTTTTCAAGTTACATATTGCATTGTAAAACTGCTGTGTACTGCTATCAGGAAATAAACGTTTTGGAACATATGGTTCTTGACCAGTTCTGAATTCATTTATTTCATCATTCTTTCCACTGCTTATTGCAGCTGCCGATTTCCTTTTAAAAATACCAAGCACAAGTAGAAGCAATTAGAAACTGAGACATAAGAGATACCCCTTTAAAATAAAAATGACTGGTAGTCTTTGCTCTTATGTGAAGAATGAAGACAAATACTCTCCCTTGCCTAACACTGTGAAGGAAAGGGTGCATTTTTGTATGCTTGCTTGAGTTTTGTACATGTAAAATATTTCAAAATCCAGCTTCACTGGCCTCTTATAGCTCTTGTCCTCTGAAACCATTTATGTAGTTTTGCAAAGCCCAGTCTAGAGTCTTCTTGTGTCCTTTGGCATCAGTAAACTTTAAAAAAAATATGTAGTTAACAATCTCTACAATAATTTTTACAGAGTTACCATAAAACCATTCAGAGCCTGTAAACACAGTTTTTCAACCTTCACTTAGGAATGCTGCCTTTTTCTGAGTCCTGCCTTGAAACACTCCTTACGACAACAGCAGCTAGGGCTGATGGGCAATACCGTGTAGGCTCCTTTTGAACAGGGTAAAGATGGTGCTGTTTGCTTTCACAGCCCTTCTGTCAGTTCTACTCATATTTTAACCAGCTGGTACTTCACATTGAACTCTCCCCCTCCTCCATGATATTCTCATGAAGATCTTGTAATACTTACCTACTCGTAACTTGAAGTCATTGAATGAGTGCTTGTTTATGACATCCAGTTTTGCCACCAAGGCAAATGCGAACTCCACCATGGTTCCTATGTGCATATACTGTCGTTCAGGTTCCTGAATTTAAAAGACAAACAGTAAAATAATTTTCCTGAGCCCTAGTGGCTGTGAGAATGCAACCAAGCTATGCTCAACACCTGAAAGCACTTAAACCCTTTGGGATGTCCTAATGCCAGCAGGCAGTTGCAGGAAAGTAATGCAGAAGATGGTGCCTTGCCCAGCATCAGTTAGATCAAACAATGGCCAATAGACCAGGATGTATTTTACTTATACAACCAGGCAGCCTAGAAATGATAGCTCCAAACCATGCCTAATCTAATGTTTTGATTGTCAAATAACTCAAAGTCTATGTATGCCTAGGATTTGTTAATTCTCTAAGTGTCTGCTTCTATTTTATGCCCTTTCATAACAAATAATGCTTATGGACAGCCCCACAGAGACACCCTCCTCTCACTCTTGCACAGCTCAGCACCCCAGTTGATGCTTAAAATCCAGTGAAATTCACAATTTTAAGAGTTCTTCCACTGATCTAATCTGGCAGATAGGCAAGTACCTCTGCTAACATCCAAGAGACCTGAAAATGAATAAAACACAAGATGAAGAGAGGAAGAAGGCAACCCATCCTGTGCCCCCTAATTTACTAGCTCAGAGGTTATATCACTTATAAACACCTACGAGGAGAGACTTAATCTCTCCTCATACATTAACAATGTAACCTGATTTCTAAGTACTGTTTTGAGTCCTCTCCGGCTGGGGAAAAAATTGATTTTTGGGCTCTCACAGCCCAGGGAGGGACCCTGACAAGTGAATGATTTCATAAGAGACAGACTCACTGATCTCTATGAGAAATAACTGAATCTTCCTCATTTCTTGAGACAAAGTGACAGAAGAGATGGATAGGTGACAATTTCAGACATGATTCACAGAATGGATGTATCAGCCTAGGTGGGACAGTAGTGGTTGCTGGAGCAGCTGTTTAGATGAATGAAGCCTGTTTCCTTTGGAGCTCACTCCTAACTAAGACAGATGGTTTCTTGTTCAGTTGATATATTCAGACTCCCTCCTTAGGCACTTAGTCTTGCTTGGGCACTTGTTTCAAGCTGGGGGTGGTTCCCAGCAGTATGTCTAGCAATCAGTCATTGCCACAGTAGGTACTGCAGTTTCTATGCATCTTTGGGAATCTGAACTGAAGGCTGCTGAGTTCTGGTGGATTTCTTTTGAAAATGTGAACTAAACCACCCAAGGAATGCTGAAATGTGGATCTTTTGATTCACAGTTTGTGGAAATAAATGATAAATTTCTTCCTGTGCATACACTAGTTTTAGTTATGCTTGAGAGCTCACTCTCTTTTCTCATCTCCAGTCTACAGTTCTGCATTTTCTTCATCCTGTTCACCCCATGTATTAAATGTCACAGATAATTTAAAGAAATTCTTTTTTTTTGTCCTCAAGATCCTTAAGGTCTATAGTTCATGTAGTAATTGCTCCTGTCTAGAAGGAAGTTAAGTTTGGCAAGAGCACATTAGCAGAGACTGTTGATTCATAATTGCTGTCTCTCTGTCGCTAACCTGTAGTACTCTAAAGATCATGGAATAAGCAAGGTTTTTGCTTAAAAGTTATGAATTGCTTCTCTGAACTTAATTTCTACTGACTGCAGCTCCTAATCCTACTATATTCAGTAAACTAGAAACAAAGGAACACATTCTCAATGCTGAGTCTGAGTGTTCTGTAAGTGTATGGTTAGGAAAGCTACTCAGCCCTCCCAGCTTACAACAGAAAACATTAATCCTTGCAGTCTTTTGTACACACTATAAATCCAATTCTTATGCAGCATGTAGGAATAAAAGCCTGTTTTAGCAAATACAGAGGTGGCATTTTCAAACCGCAATGTGCAGAACAATTCACAGAGACTACTAAAGTATACACTTGTTCAGTACAATACAATCTATGTTAATAAGAAAAAACTAGGACACAGTATTATACATAACCTGGAGCTTAATGAACAGAATTTTAGCCTTCATTTAAACATGTTTTTTATTAAACAGGAATATTTTCCTGTACCTGACACTGTTCTTGGCTGGGTGTAGCACTCAGTCCTGTTGCTGCCATATATGTGCTTCCAATGGTCTTTATCTTTTCAACTCCACTGAACTTTGGCTTTGACAATAACTGTAAAACAAGGATGGTTATTCATTATTCAGATCAGCAGCCTTGTTATTTCATACCATTCAGAGCACCAATTCTTAGAACACTTTCTACATAGACCCCAAATGGCTTAGCAAATACATACAGGCTGAAGGACTTAAGGATGGATAAAGCAATGGTTACAGCAGCCAAGGAAAGGGAATTTCTGTCTTTTTTAATACCTTCTTATTATAAAGGGATTAGATTTCTAGCAATGAGAAAAGATTCCACCTTATTGTACAGAGAGTTCTTAGAAGTCAGTAGACTTTGCACTCATGTGATTGGACCTGAGTCACCACGAGAGCCTGCAGTTAAGCTTTAAGCAGCTTTCTGAAAGTAAGCATCTCTTCCATGTCAATGGGATGGTCCATGTCAATGGGATTATAATCCAAGGATTTTAGTTCATATCCCAAGTTGTTTTGGACATTGGACACCCAACACTGTGCAAATGGGTTTGCTGGTAAAATACCCTCTATAGCTGCAGATTCACAAATCTAGACTGTGCTTTCTGAGACATGACACAATCTTAGTACCTTTTAGGATATCTTCATCACTAATAACTTTCTTAATGACAAACACTCTTCTCAGTGAGGCCTTTAAAGTTGCCTTTTCACCTGTAGCCATACTCTTTACTTGCTTGTAACTTCAGAGAATGGACTATGAAAACTTTTTAAATCCTTTTATTTGATTATATATCAACTGATCAATGCTCTGTATGAAACCAACACAGATCAGGTATAAAACAAAGTCATATCTGACTTTAGACATCAGTATTTAGAACCTGTAGCTAATACATGGCATGTAATGTGACTGCCTCATGAGCTGCAGCTAAAGGGCAAAAACTTCTCTATCAGATATACACACAGGACTCTTATTATAGCAAATCAAGAGCAATTGAGTATGATGTCAGATCAATATCTGACTTAGCCCACATAAATCTCTTTGTCCTTTAATACTCCCTGTAAGTATTTTCCATGTGACCAGGCACACAAAAGTTCTTTTCTGACAGCTCTTCCACTCTCCCCTTCAAGTATGTTTGCTGACTGGTGCATACCCTGAGTTAGTAAGATTGAAACCATATCAATTGTTGTCAGAAGTACGTACATCATCAAAGTCTGCAATGATCTCATTTAGCAGCCTGAGACATTCCAAGCCTTCCTTATTTACATCAGATTCTGTGTAGAATTCCTTGAAATCCGGAACAGAGGCAAACATGACACAGACGCAGTCATATGACTGGTGATATAGATCCTGTCCAAAAGAAAACAGAATAGAAAAAAAAATCTATCATACCCAGCTGTAAGTAAGTTTCCTTATTAATATGCAGTGCCCAGGTTCCAAAACAGGAGGTGCTGTAGCAGTTGGAATGCCTTGAGATGGTGGTTGGATGTTTTTTGCAGTTAGCTGCATTTATTAATTTTTAACAATATATAATCCTATTCAGTCTCCTGTAAAAGACTCTTGACATATACAACTGAAAATATTGTAATGATTTTTTCCTTCCTCAACATTAACTCTGTGAAAATAAAATGTTCACTAATTTATTAGACAGGGCCCATTTCTGAGGCTTCTTATGAGGCAAATTTAGTCTGGCCTGCATGGCTGAAAATACGTTTTGCAAAACAATATCTAATTTATTATTAGCTGTTTGTGTAACTCTAAAAACTAGAAAACTGAACCAGAATCACAAACCCAATGCACTACAAGAGCACCATGCAATAAAATCCTGATGGATAGCTCCTAACCTAAAATGACAAGATGCTGAATAGGACAAAATAATTGTCATTTCTTTTGCATAACAAGGAGCTGAGGCAAAGGCAAAGAAGTCACCTGAACTAAAACTTATTTATGACAGGTTCTGCACTGTCTTCTGGGATCACTGAAATGGAGCATTGCTGCTCCACAGGAAGATTCTGGTGCTAAAAATGACCACTCCTCACTCCCCTCTTCAGTTTCCACTCCACTGCCTTTAAACATTAGAATATCTCTTCTTTCAGGACAAATTCACATCCTTAAAGCAAAGACAGACAGAAAGAAAGAATATTTTTTAAACTAATACTTAAAAATATGTCTATACACACAGGTAGCCACAGCAATAAAAGAGGTCGCAAACTACTATAACATAAAATTATCTTCAAGTTGTTATTTGAATAAAAAGGATTTCAGTACTCAGGTCAAAAGGTGAATAGGATTTGTTCTGTGATTTCAAGAAGCATTGGATATTATTTCCTTTTTTAATTTAGTGAAGCTTGGTCCGTGCAATTTCACTGGCAGTGTTTCTTTCTGGAAGAATGCAGTGTGCCTGTACACATTTCTCTACTCCTGATGCATAACTGAAAAACAGCAGAACTATGGGAAAACTGTTAACTGCCTCATCCCAGCACAGGTGTGAGAGAAGTTTCTGGGCAGACATGAAAATAATGGCAGACAAGGAGGAACATGAGCAGCTGGAGGAGGTAAATTATTTATCACTAGATTTTTGTGCCTATTTTCTAAGGATTCCATAACTAGAGCATCACTGAAGCTCCATGAAGACTGTGTGCAGTAGGGATGGAACATATCACTGCAATTCACTGCTCGAGCTGTTACTCTGTTGTTGCACCACAATTAAATCATTTTAAGGATCCAGATATATGAGACTCTGTTATGGGAAACCCAGTGTCGAACTGGTAAGGAAACCTTATCTGACTGTGTGAGTGTGGTGTGCCCAGCAGGGCATCTGTTGGCTCACTGGAGCCTCCCACTGTGAAGGGGCTTCAGTCCTAGCTCAGGTGGTGGGAGAGTGACTGCCAGAATGGTTCCTGGATGGCCAAACAGGGAAGTTTCCTTAACAAGGTACAGAGATTAAATTCTGTGGTTAAGTCAGCTTTCCTTCTGTTTCCTCAAGTCACTTTCCCTATACTTGATTTCAATTTTGGGTGAAGGAATTCAGCAACAGCATCCCATTTCTCTTCTCTCTAATACTGGGGCAATATCCACCCCCACTAATGCTCTATAACATAGTACCAGCATGGAAACAACAACAAATGGCAATGTTTATAACCAGATGAGTAGTAATAGTGACAATCACAATAAATGTCAGAAGATTTTAAGGAGGCATTCCCAGATAGTTTGTTCTGATAATTCATAATAATAGATGCTGTGACAATCTAGTGTCTTAATTTTCCTGAGTACTTCTCTTGAAACATTACTCTCCAAAATGTTTAATCAGAATATTAAATGCAATACCATTCCAGAAAGGAATGGCTTTGCTTCTTCAAAAAAACTAAAACCATCCTGTCTTCTCTGTTCAATCCCTTTTTTTTCCCTTTAATAACATCTGAAATTCTGCAAGTATGCTCCTCTTACTGTCTCCTCTGCTCCAGTGCATGGAGATCTTCTTGGGATGGAGGAGGCACAGGTCCAATTCTACCTCTTGGAAGGGCATGGTGGTCAGTGTCTCTGGGGAAGAATTTTTGCTCTAAGTAGGGTGTTGGCTCCATCCTGTAGCTAATGAAACAAGATTCCTCTTGCTCAGTAATGGACTTGCCAGTTAGCTTGCAGCACAAAAGCTCCTGAGCATTTTTCACTAATAGGGAATCTGAATGCTAACAGCATTAAGGAGAAAACTGCACAAGCCAGGTGCAGATATATTTAATCCTGGCCCTGTTTCCTGCTTTCCATTTTAGATGTGTTCCTGTCTTTCTCTGAATTAGCAAGTAACCTGTCTGGTACCCAGCATGCAGGCTGTGAGCAGAAACCCAGCTCCGGAGGTTCTGGTAAAGCAAACAAACCTTCATTACAGTTTGCTCTGAAGTAACTTTGCTTATAGCCTATCAGCATTAGTCAATGTGTATCCTGTTATAAAAAAGCCTTTGTTGGTCATCTGAAAGTACAGTCTCAATGCTCCCAGGTAGTAC